GGTGTACCAGTCTCTAGGACTAATTGTTTCCATGAATTTTGGTTTTCTTCATTCTTCTTTGCTCTGGATGAGGAGAGACCCATTGTAAACATTCTTAAATCTAACTCAACTTAAAAAAAAACAAAAGCCTCTCTCAACCCTGTGATTCCTCTGGATACTGAGATAATTTGTTTCCCTTTATAGCCATAACTTTTCAAAAATCTGCTTCCACTTAATGCTTTTTCTTCCTAACTTTTCAGTCACACCTCGTTTCCCTGAGGTCTAATTTCTATCCACACAACTTCACCAAGCCTACTCTTACTAAAATTACAAATCCCTTTTGTGTCATTAGGTAAAAGAGGCTCTTTTAGTCTTTTCTTCCTTGACCAGATCCTTCTTGCTGCATTTGACTCTGATCACATCTTCTTTCTTAAAACTATTCCTTTGGCTTCCATGATACCATATTCTGCTCATAGCTTGAACACTCCTTCTTGTCTGCCCTTTGTGAGCTCCTCTTCCTTCTTAAGACTTTGTCCCTGGTACACTGCTCTCCCTACCTTGAATACTCATCTTAGTGCCTTCAACCCTCATTCTGTTTTCAACTACCATGTTACCACCTCTGTGCCACAAATTTTCTACCTGCAGAACCAAATATCCAAATATCTGCTGACTACCTCCAACTCAACATGTCCTAAACAGAATTCATCAGTGCCCTAAAACCTGCTCTTCATTCTAGATCCTTACTTCTGGTGGTATCACATTATCTACCCATCATTCAAGACAGCGTGCCCCGCGAAGCATCCCTGAGTCTTTAGTCCCTGATCCAATCCATCAAGTACTGGTGATACAACCTCCTATATATTTCCCCTCCCCATCCTTTCTATCACTGGGCTAGTTGAGCCTTCAGGGTGGATTCCTGCCTCCATTGTCTCCCCTCAGCTTGACTGTCTTCCATACTTGCCACCCGAAGGAGCTTTCTAAAATGCAAATCTAACTATGTCGCCCCCTTGCTTAAAATCTTTCTATGTTCCCTACTACTTCAGGATCAAGTTTCTAGCCCTTAGTGTGGGCCCTGCAAAGCTCTCTAGTCATTTGCATTTTATGTTCCAGCAATAGCAGACTATTTGTAGTTTATGATACATACTATGCTGTTTCTTGAATTCCTTCAGTTGTTTGACAAATATTTATTGAGCACCTACTGTGTACCAAACTCTGATCCAAATGATGGGGCATGGCAGTGAATAACAGACAAAAATCTCTCCCCTTACAAAGATTACTTTCTAGTGAAGAGACAGACAATAAACAAAGTAATTAAATAAAAAGATAGATAATAATAAATGCTAGGGAGAAAAATAAATCAGGGAAGGGGGATAAATATTGGGGGTAGCCAAGGAAGGCTTCATTGAGAAACTAACAGTTGAAAAAGACCTGAAGGAGGCAAGAGAGCAGGAGCCAAGAATAATATCCGTTACAAATCCCTGAAGTAATATCCTAGGGACAGCAAGACCAGTGTGGCTGGAATGGAAAATTCAGTACCTTTGCTCATGCTGTGCCCTCAGCTTGGAATGCCCTTTTCTCTTTTTGCCTGTACACAAAACATATTTCAAGCATCATCTCTTCCTGGAAACTTTCCTCTCACCCACTACCCAAATCTCCCAAAATGTCCTGTGTATATATATGTGTATGTATGTATATATGTGTATATGTTTGTGTGTGTGTGTATAGTATGATTATCTGTCTCCCTCACTAGACTGGGAGCTGAGGACAGGATATGATTCAGTGGTGTCCTCAGAACCAACCTATATGGATACAGACTGAGAGAGATGAAATCATTTACTGAAGGTCACATACCTCAGAAGCAGTAGAGCTTCTTGGGACCCAAGTCCACTGGGGACATCTTTTACCTAGTCATTTAAAAAATCCTTATTGCTGCCACTTTGCCTACCCCTACCCCCAAAGAATAGCTCCTTCCATGTCCCTACAACTCATACACTACCCGCTCCCAAACATATGTATACACACATACACAAAGGTTGTTGAACAAACAGCAGAATAAGTGAACCAGAAATGGAGCAGGCTAATACAGCTAACCAGAAGACTGGTGGTTCAAACCCACCAGCCACTCTTCGGAAGGAAGACTGGGCAATCTACTTCCGTAGCGATACTGCCTCACAAACCCTAGGAGGGGTCGCTATGAGTTGGGTCTGACTCAATGGCACATAAGTACAACAACTGTACAAGAGTACAATACCCAGGTCATATTTTTGTGTAGATATGTTTAATGACCAGCTGTGCCTAGGCATGGACATACGGACTACCCACCTGGCCAAGCTGGAAGAGTCATGTCGAATGGCCATGATGTCTGCCATAGCCAACGTCAACAAAGCCCAGGTATGGCCTGAGCTATCCAATGTACTACACTCCCCTCAACTGCCTGAACAAAATCCTGGGGAACCTTAGCCACATCGTTTCCCCTTCTACCTAAGGACTCCTCTCTTTACCAAGGGATCTCTGAGATATCTCTCTCTACCTCCAGACTCTGGGTCCACCTCCAGACTCAGGGTGACTTGAAAACAGAGCACTACCTTCTCACTCCAGCCTCTCAGTCTAAGGGCTTCCTGAGGGCAGAAACATTCCCTGCCTATTGACCATTCCCCCATCTCAAGGGTTGTTAAGAAGCTATCCAGTGTCTACTCTTTTCTCTCCCTGAGAATGAGGAGGATAAGGCCATATAACCGCCCCCCTCCGGCCCCCACAACTGAAAGCTTCATGAGGTTGGGCACTCAAATGCTTATGTTCAGCGGGCCCCACCAGGTAGAGGAGCTGGCTGAGCGGCAGCGCCGTGAGCATCAGCATGAACAGGAGGCCAACTGTCTGGATATCCAGAACCAGATCACAAGTGACCTGCTGACTGAGAACCCAAAAGTTGCCCAAAACCTTCTGTCTCACCACCGGGTCCTGCCATATTGCTGGAAGGGCATGACTCCAGAGCAGCGAGCTGCCATCAGGAAAGTACAAGAGGTACAGCGCTGTGAAAAGGAGGCACAGCGCCAGGCTGAACAAGCACTGGATGCTAAATGGGAAAGCCAGATCATGCGCTCGGCCCAGGCAGCACTGGAGCTGGAGCAGCAGGAGAGGGAACTGTGTGCTGAATTTCGGAAGGGGCTGGGATCCTTCAATCAGCAGCTGGCTAAGGAGCAAAAAGCCCAGTAAGTTCTCTAAGGGTTGGTGGTGAGAATGAATGCAAGCGAGGGTGGGAAGGGATGTTGAGGATCAGGGAGAAAGGGAAAGCACATCATCTGAGGCCTCTGCACTTCTTTCACAGGCAGAATTATCTGAATACAATAATCTATACCAACCAACCTACAGCCCAATATCACCTACAGTTCAATACCAGCAGCCGCTGAGCCCAGGATGATCTTCTCTCCCTTCTCCATTAAGCTCACAGGGGGTTTTGAGTCAAAAAGGAAAATACTACATACCCCCATCCCCAATCCATTCCCCAGTAGGATGGAAATGAGCCACTACCCTCACCTTCTAATAATAAAATTATTCACTGAAATCAAGGCTATGTGTTGTAATAAGACACAAAAAGCATGAGATACTGCTGCTCCTACCCAACCCCAGGGCTCAGAGCCTTCACCGTTTACCTTTCTTCCCCATGCCAGTCCCCCAGCACAGTACCGAGCACTCCCTGTGAGAAATACAGACTTTATTAGGCACAGAGGGTGACTGGTAGACAGAGTTACAAAATGTTTACTGAGATTCCTCTCAAGCTACAGCCTAGTACCCCAAAGGAACAAGGGTGCAGAGAGGGATGTAGTCTCTCTACCCTCTCCTTTCAGGGCTGCATGCGGATGGCACCATCCAGCCGGATGACTTCTCCATTGAGGAATGGGTTCTCGATTATGGCCTGTACGAGATGAGCATACTCAGCAGGGTCACCCAGTCGGCTAGGGAAGGGCACCTGGCTGGCCAAGAAGTTGCGTACCTTGTCTGGGAGGCTGGTCAGCAGTGGGGTGCCAAACAGGCCTAGACAAAACAACCAGAGTCAAAGACCCACGCTTACTTTGATACTCACCTTGCTCTTCCTTACCTTAACCTTACTTCTTGGTGCGTCCCTATGGCCCAGACAGGGGGCTGTTGCTACTTAGGTGATATTTTCCCTTTTCAATTGCTCATAGATCCCCCACAATCCCAGGTGTGGCAAGGAGGGGATATATCTACCTGGAGCAATGGTCATCACCCGGATGCCTAGGGGAGCCAGATCCCGAGCAATGGGCAGTGTCATGCCCACAATGCCACTCTTTGAAGCAGAGTATGCAGCTTGTCCAACCTATAAAGGTGTGGAGGTCATAGGTGGGAGGGCCCCAACAAGTCACTTTGGAGGCACATGCCTTACCCCTGCCTACATACCTGGCCCTCGAAGGCAGCCACACTGGCAGTGTTGATGATGACTCCACGTTGGCCGCCCTGGTCTGGTTCATTCTGGGCCATCTCTCCAGCCACCAAGCGGATCACATTGAAGGTACCTACGAGATTCACCTGGAAGGCAGGTAGAGACATTGGTATAGGACCTGAGGAATAGGCAGCCTCTGTTCCCTAAGAGCTTTGGGGGTATCCACAGCCAGATGCCTCTTATCTTACCCAAGGAAAACCTCAAGGCCTTACACTGAGAACTTGCTGAAAGTCCTCCAAGGTATGGGCCTGGCTCCTCTTTAAGTTGTATGTCTTGATGGCCACTGCAATGCCTGCACAGTTGACTGCGACATCCACACGGCCAAACTTTTCTTTTGTTAGATTCAGGGCTGCTTGCACATCTTTCTCTGAAGTCACCTTCAAAGAGAGAAGTAGAGATGGTATTGCCTCTCCATGCCCACCACTAAACCTATGGGGAGGAGAGTGGGAGGCAGGCCCAGAAACGTATAAGCAAGAGAGACGCTAAGAGAAAGTTACAGTGGAGAGTGGAGTTAAGGTGAAAATGTTAGGTCCTCTAGGGCAATGTTTACAAAATTTTTTCAAATCTACACCCTTGATAAATTCACATACCTCTAGAGACTCTTAATTGCTGTAGATCAGAGCACTAATACATCTGTTTTGAGGATTACTGATATGAAGATAAACCAACTTTTCTGCTAACTAACCTACCTGCTAAGATTTCATCAAACTTTACTTTCTGTAGTTTCATTAGGTTCTCCCACTTCTAAATGTAAAATTACAGGACACAATTATGCATCTTCAAATACACATACCCCTTCCAGAAGATTCGGGTATGTCCAGTTCCAATCCACATTCTCTTGAATGCAGGATTTAGAGATTTCTATATTCCACAGTGCCTGAAAAGATTCCTACCTCGATCCCACCACGCTTGAAGGCTCAAGCCAAAAGGGAGAAGGACGTAAGCTCACTGCACACAGATGGTACTCTCATGAGAGGGAGCCCAAGGTTTCCCAGGCTGGTGGTCCTACCTGGTGCACACCCTGGGAGAAGAGACGTGGCCCCACTTACGTTGACAGGAACAAAGGCGCAGTTCTTCCCTAATTTCTTGGCCTGGGCCACTCCATCCGAGTCCAGTAGGTCCAAAAGCACAGCAGAGGCCCCTTGCCCCACCAGTCGCTCCGCCGTGGCTAAGCCTAGACCCGAGGCTCCTCCCGTTATCACTGCAACCAAGCCCTGTTAAGAGGGACACGGTCAGCTGCTACTGTCCTTTCTCCAGGCTTCCGAGAGAGAGGGAGTGGAAGCGGAGGAGATTATGGTCACCTCTGCGGTGTGACCCAAGTGTGCCTCCTCCCTTCACCAGATTGGAGCTCTGGGGACTTATCCCCAAGCAATCCAGCCTGTCACCCCACACCATGTGTGCCTCGGCGTGTTGACCTTCACCTTGCGAGTCCAACCGCTACCTAAACAAGACCTAAACAAGCATGACCCTTTCTCCTAGCACCGATCTCTTCCCCCTGATTCCACTGCTGCGCCTTTCCAGCCGGGCAAACAGCAGGGGCCAACACCGCTCTACCTTCACGCTCCGACACACAGCAGCCATCTTGTGCAGAGCCGCGTCACCAGGGTCTGCGCAGGCGCTCTCTGACTGGCTGGGCGGGGCCGAGAAGGCGGCCCGGGAGCCTCTCTCCGGAGGTAGGAGTTATTTTTTGCTGTTTCTGTTGTCCAGCGAGACCGCGAGACCTTGGGAAGGTGTCCTTGGAGAGTTATTTCACCTAGGGAAAGAACCCAATGGCAGTAGCACAATACCACCATACCCAACAACTCCTTTTGGCAGATTGCCAGCTCCGCTGGGGAGGGACTTGAAGGCGAGTCCCTTTCTCCTCAGAAAAATCTATCATTCATGTACAGATGTATTTGAGAGATTAGTATATGTTGGGAGCTC